TATATATACTTTAAAAAAAAATATTTGCAAACCTCTCTGGTCAAACTACAGTAGCCTTGGTGTGGGAAGTCTGTGGCGTGGGATCGAGCTTGTAGAGATGTTTAATGTTAATCAAAGGCTGAAGAGCAAGGACTGGAGCCCTCTTCTAACATCTGCATCTTTTCTGATGTAGCACCCTGGCAATAAAAGAAGCTGTAATAACTTGATGAAAGTTGATTTTCATAGTGCAGGAAGAGGGCTGTCTGTCCAGGAACAAGGGAAGCCATCACTGCAGTGCTGCTGCCTATTGTAATGAGCAGCTCATCATCCAGAAAAGGAAAAACATGAATATCCTGACAGGAGAGCATCCACTTGTGCCCTGGAGAGTTCAGACTGTGGGGCTTTGCACGGTAATGATGTGGTCCCGCTCTGGCAGGTGAAGGGACGAGCGGTACGGGAAGGCACACCCTATAATTGAAAAGCCACTAAGCCATCTCGGACCTGCAGGGATAGCAGGATGGAGGCATTGGTTTGCTCGGTCTTCCCAGGTCTGAGCCAGAAGAGAAGATCTCTTTAGTCTCCTGGAGCGGGAAATACAGAGAGACCTCTTCCTCGCACTGCCATATTGCTCCCAGGAGGTTGGGCTTCTCCTGGGGATTAGTCTCAAGGGCACAATGAAGGTGGAAAGGACGAGAGTGGGAGAGGGAGGAATAAAGGAAGGAGCCATGGGGAGTTATTTAAACACCTTTTTTTTTCAGGCAGAGGCTTCCTGGTTCCAGGTTGTAGGAATGGCTATGTGGAAGGACAAACCTGTTGTTAGGATCCACAGGTACTGCTCCCTTTCACTGGAAATGTCTTGTTTCCCTTAGCATCATATAAAACCTTTCCTTTCTGGCTGATAGGTATTTAGCTGAGTGATAATATAGTAAAACAACCATTTGGTAGCCGTAAGGCACCATTGGCTTCAGTGTCTCAAACTGCTATAAACAAGATCAGTCTCCAGTCCAGAAATAACAGAGCAGTTGAGATTTACATTTTTCTAAGGGTCTTGTTTGTACCAAGGTTGGTGACCGGGGTGTTTGGAGATTTAGTTTTGCTTATCTAAGGCTGGGTGCTGCTAAATGGGGACTCTGAACCAGCCTACATAGTTTGCCCAAGATTATCAAATCCCAGCATAACGCAGACCAGGAAGGACCTCTGGAGATCACCCTGGTCAAAGCAGCAAGAGTAGGCTGAGTCTTGAGCAGCATAGCCCTGGATGCTGCCCCCATCCCATCTCCAGCCTTTCCTGGAAGACAGGCCTGAACATAAACACCAAATCCTGACCCCAACAAATATTGTGGATGGGATGCTCACTTTTCATTTACTTCACCACTGCTACTTGAAGAGCTGTACCCAACCAAGATGCTCACAGTGCAAGAAAAGCTGCAGCTTATCCTTGCTCCTTTGGCAACGACTTCTGCTGTCCCCACCTTCATCCCCGGTGATGGGATCCTCTGGTCCAAAACCAGCTTGGCAAAGCCACGTGGTCTGCGTTTGTCCTATGCATAATCTGAGACTGCCACGACAGCCTTGCCCATCTTCCCACACACACCGAGGGGCTATGGCAGGGACACACGTGGCCCTGGGCAGTGCAAAGCCACCAGTACTGCTGGGGAGGGACGCAGGCACCCCCTGTGGTAGCATAGCCTTGCCTCTGAGCCACCTCTTGTGTGCTCTAGGGCTAATGCTTTCCTCTAGAAAACAAACCTTGTTCAACTGCTTGAGTGTTGTTTGGCTGTGTGACAGCCAGCTGCTCTGGCGGGTGATTGGGAACAGTTTGTTGCATGATCCTTACAGTTTCAGGGAGGAGAAGCTTCCTCATAGCTGAAAGTGGCAACAAGTGAGGAAGACACGCAGTATGATGCACGTACAAAAAATAGGGCCCATGTTGGCTACGTCCCCACTGAGGCCTCCATGGCTGTTTCCACTGGAGATCGGTAACTTCTGGCTCCAGCCTTTTGCCAGAAAACTGGTGATGGGGGGCAAAACAAATCCTCTGGCTTGCAACTGCAGAGCTCTTCCTGCAGAATTGACTGTGCAAGAAGGGCTGGGCTTTGGGTGTGCTCCCCTTGCGTGGCACCGAGCCCGGTATTGTGAGGGTTCCCTCTGAAGCAACATGCGGGAAGCGGTGGTGGAGGCACGCCAGACCACGGCAGCAGGAGGGTGAAAGTGGGACCTCAGGGACAGGATGGCCATGGGATGCTGGCACCGATGCAGCAGGCTGGTGGTGGTGCCCAGGTGTAGAGCTGGGTTTGGGTTGGATTTGGGATGGGTTGAACTAAAGCCAGAGGTTGGTCCAAGTAGAAGAAGCTGCTTTGATTTGCTGGGTGCTGGTTCCTGCATTGGTAGCCAAATGCAGACTTCTGAATTCCCAGATGTCATTAAAAGTCAGGACAGAACAGCGTCGGAAATGTACTCCCAGAAGTGCAAAGTCAGCGTTGCGTGGATGGCTTTTCTCCTCTGAAAACCCTGGTGTGCGCAACAGGTTCCCCCTTACCCAAGCAAGTCATTTCCCTCTGCAGACCAAGCACTGATCAGAGCTGCTGCCTCCCTTCCCTCAGTCCTGTGAGAAAAGTGCAGCTCAGCCAGGCTGGAGGTGCCCCATTTTCCTGCACACAAGCAGCTCGGCAATGTGTGGTGAAATTGGGGCACCTCCACCAGTGTCACAGAGGTCACACTTTGACCCACCTGCTTCTAGCAGTGGTGCCTGCTCAGCTACAGTAACTTTCTGGAACTGCTCTCTTGTGTAAGTCCTTAATGATGTGACAGCAAAGCTTTCTGCTTTGTATCATTCTCATTATACAGTCTGCACGTTTGCACTCATGGATTTTACTGTGGTAGTCCAGAGCTTTCAGATGAACTCCTCAGTTTATTAATTCAGCTGCTTACGTAAGGGCAAGGAGCATCTTCCATGCAGCTCAGAGAAGCAGCAGTTAACTGCTGGATAGCCCAGCTCCAAACTCAGAAATCTCACCAATGTCTCCAGACTGTCACTGCTGCTGTATTTTACTTGACTTCATACCCTTGAGGCCACCAAACCATTAAAAGAGCCACCAGAGACATCCTTTGACTACAGGTACTTGCCACCCGTGCGACTCTGGCACGGCGAACTCTGTCACCTGCTTTCCAGCATTTCTCTGTCCTCCACCCAGTGAAAATGTGCAGGGGCCCGCGCGAGGCAGCAGAGGTGGGGCTGGCCTGTGTTGTTCTCCAGTGCTTTGGGACTGGTAGAACAGCTCTTAGAGCACGATTTTACTTGGCACAGGCTGGTTTTGTAATGAAAGAAATAAATAAGTGCCATCCTGCTCCACTGGGAGGTTGAAGCATTTCCTTTTTTTTTTTTTTTTTAAATGATCTGTTTGTACTGAGGCCAAACATTGAATACTTCAGCCTCAAAAGTTTCAGCAAGAACTGCAATTGGGAGGAGGCTAAAATACAGTCACTCTTGTGCCTTCATCCATGCTGCTGTGAGACAGCTATTTTATTTTATTTTATTTTATTTTATTTTATTTTATTTTATTTTATTTTATTTTATTTTATTTTATTTTATTATTTTCCTTTAAAGTAGAATTGAAGGAGTGCATTGGTGCTGCATGCTGCTGACTCACCAGCTTTGGAGACAGGATTGCCCTGTGTATGCGTTCTATATGCACCCTCACCAACACCCAAAAAACCTGGGGCACCAAACAAGGCCAGGAGGGAATGTCCCCATGGGAGACGGGGGTAGCTGAAGGATCTGGGGGACAGGGTAGGGTCTCCCTGCCCACGTGGATGTCTTCTCCTCCCCTCCTGCCCCAGTGAGCTTCTCGCGGGCTGGAAGCATGCGAGTGCCCGAGCCAGCGCAGGAGAGGGAGGAGGACGTAAGACTGGCGGCTGATGGTGGGGGAAGGGATGGTCCACCTTATTTGGCAGCACCTTGCAGTTAAATCAGCTTAAAGCGATCATGAAACCATAGGGTAGTATTTCACTCCTCTTTACTGTGGTCTCGCTCTTGAAAGCGCCAATACGAGCACCGGCTAGTTCCTGTAAGATGAACACGGATGGAGGACAATAAGTTCTTTCTTAGGTCCTATCCAACAGGAATCGGATAATAATAATTTTCGACTTTTATGCACTGTGCTCAATTCAAAGCCGCAGATGAAGCCCCACTCTAGCAGCGTGGTATAGGAGCATTTCTACCAATTTCAGTGAGAGCCCTGCAGGCAGACAGCTTGCAGGGACAGGCTCAGGGAGTTTCAGGAAGCTGCAAAATAGAGTAAATAATAATAAGCAGAAATAAAAAAATAAATCAGAAATGTGTTACCTGCTCTGAAGGAACTGCTCTCAAATTTCCTTAAAAGAAAAAAACCCATATTATTTACATTCCATTTAACTCACTGAAAAACCCAAACAAGAGTACGGTATTAGGTAACTCACTTTTTTGATAGGACACAGCTATTTTATATCCTGTTATTCAATAGCTGAATTAAAATATTTAAGGTCTCGCTTATACAAGTTTATACATGTAGGATACATATATTCCATCAAACGCTACACCAACTATGATTTTTACAGACAGGACAGTGTGGAGGCACGAGGCCAGCGATGGATCGTGGTTCCCACATTGTCCCAACTCGGCGGGGAGCTGTTGCAGGAATGGGATGCACACGCTAGGACAGAGCCATGGCCGTAGCACACCTCTACCTGTGGTGGGGTAGCTGTAGAGCGGTGGAGCTCAGTACGGGCTGCCTGCCTGAATGCTTGTCCTGTGTCTCAAGAGGGTTTTGCAGCCCGTGTGCTGTCAGGTTGCTGCTGGAGGTGCTTGAGGATGAGGCTTGTGTTACAGCTTGAGCTGAATTAACAGCTGCCAACATCAAAAAGACATCCTGCTGCAGGCAATGGGCTTCTGCCCCTCACTTGGTGCTGTCTGTGGTGTCCTCTGATCCCCAGGCAAGGCAGTTTGGATCAGGGAATGGACAAAAGCCCATAGGAAAGAAAATTAATATTTGGGGGGGGTTGGGTTAATATGCTGGTGGCTCCTGGTGTGATCCTGTGAACATGGGTGGAAGAAGGCAGTGAGGGGGAAGCAGGACCTTCCCACTTCAATGGTGGCAAGCTGCTAGTTCAGCTTTACTGTAAGATGGAAGCGCACCCTTAGCTGGCATGTTTGACACTATCGATTTCAGTTGTGTCTATAGGAACCTGAGTTACGCATTCACTTTCTGTGTCAGTGTGCCTAGAGACTGGCTCGATTTCTACATACCTGTCAGTATAGCGATGGGACACCCGGACAAGGCAAAAGATAAAAATCCTTGTCTCACCCCTTGTGCAAATACTCTTACATATCCCTGCTTGGATGACTTTACAGGATGACTCTTTAATCATGACTTTCTCATGCTGCACTACTCCTCTATTATACTGTTGCACTACTTTTACTCAGCTATGATGGAGACACCAAACACTGCTGAAGCAAGACAGACACGTTCGTTTAGTCCAGAACTCCCTGCAGAAGTAGTGTAAAACACTGCTTCATAAGCCATGAAACTGGTGAGGTTCTGCTGCTGGCCACTGCACACCAAATAACAGAGCAACAGCAACCAAAACTAACAGACACGTCGCTTGTCTTTGTTAAATTGTGAGTAGAGCTGCTCAGTAAGGAAATTCACATGATCAGTTGATTTATTCTATGTTGTGAGAGCTGGTAGCCAAGTTCTCACACCTCCCCCTGCTAGGTATATACAAACCAAGCTCATACTGCGAAGCCACTGCCTTATTTTTCTTCCTAGAAACAAGTTATTTTTCAAGATATCAACCACTATTGTTTCTAGCTTTGTCCCCTTGTACATATTTGAAAGAAAGAGACTCGTTTGCTTACCTTCTTGGCTGCTGGAAAAGGGTTTCCCCACCAGGGATGTGGTGTGGCTGTCCGCTCCAGGCTTACACTCAGTGTCCTCTGCCTGTCTGTGGCTGCTGGGTCTTTGAAAACAAAACAGAAGTGATAGGAGGGGAGGGAGCAAGGACTGAAGAGTCGGGGAGACACTGCATAGCACAGTAAAGCTGTTTCATTTGTTTTCTATCTTTTCAAGTACACAGCAGCCTGTGTAATTCCCTGGCTACAAGCTGTAGCTCGTTTTTATCAGATGTCAGTACATTTGTTGACTGAGCATCACTAGGAGCACTCATTTGGTTGTGCAGTCACTCCGGCACCATCCTGTCATTCTAAACAAGGTGTAAAACTGGTGTTTTTTTTAACGATTAAAGTTTTGTTAAGCAGGACAGACTGGGGATATGCAGCACACGTAGCAGGTGCCTGGCTCTGCCACAGTCCTGCATGGGGGCAGTCAGGCAGATGCTGGGAGAGGAGGATATCGGACCCAAAAGGCAGTATTGATTTTCTGTGATTTTTGCAGTTAAACTCTGTCCCCACACCACTTCCATCATTGAAATCCAAGTTGTAAAAGGAGCTGCAGGGAGGAAAACACCTGCTATGTGCTATGGAAAATGCAGATGGATGTGCAGATGGATTTTTTTTACTTTTTTTTTTTGGTTTTGCTCGTCTCAGTTTCTTCACTCATCATTAATCTCTGCTTACGTAGGCGTATGGAAAGGCAATCCATTCCAAAAGCAGTGGAACTGGAAATCTGGAGGTCATCTTGTGCTATCTTGGCTTGCTGACTCGCCGCTCGTCCTGCCATCCGCAAACTGCCAAGTGCCTGGCGAAGTTCAAGGGAGCATTGCCTTCGGCAAGAACGAGACGAACAGAGAAAATAAACTAAACCTCTCACATCAGGCCAGATGGGATCCCTTCTAGAAAGAATTCTCCTCATTTGGGTGGTTTTTCCTCCTCTGTGGACATAGTCATGTTTAGCTCAAGTAGTGTTTTACTCGAGGGTGGCTTTCAGACACGACAGCAGCGTAGTTGTGAAAATGTGACCATTTCTGTGTGTCACTCAATTTGGTAACTGCCACAGGGAGAGATCTCACCAGGCTTTGCTAATACAAATAATACATTCCAGGTATAAAAAAGGTGCCCTTTATTACTGACAAGAACATAAATAAAGAAAAAGCTCAGATTTTCCCTGCACCTTTGTTTTCACACTACCAGTTGGGCGATAGCTATGCAAGCAGCTAGGCATCTGTAAAGCAACTACAAGCAACTCTCCTCATCAGCTTCCCTGCAACATTTTTAAGCTGCAGTAATGCAACTCTCCCACCACGCTAAGGTTTATTGGTTCAGCAAAAGAAACTAAGAAACTTCACTGGAGACCAGATTATGCTGGTTGCAAAAACGGAGGGATTCTTCTGCTCTTCAAGCCCATTATCTCCTCTGTAGTATCTTGATCAGCTTTCTTACACACAGCCTTGGATTCTGCCGAGACCTGCAAATTGCTCTTTTGGCTGCCAAATTGCCATAACCATTCTATTTTTGTGTTTTAAAAGAGCTTAAAACCCTCCATCCTCTTTGGACATGTCTTTAAAATTGACCAGTACTGGGGGGATTTCATGTATATCCGAAGGCTTAAAAGAAGATGTTACCTCTACTGAGCTTCTAGTTTTACAGTCAACAAACATGAAAAGCCCAGCGGGGATAAAAGGAACTTAACCAGTTCTGTCTAATGCATATAAATCTACCTAAGAGCTCAAGGCACTGGAAGTACTCAATGCACTACATTTATCTGAGTCTAAGATACAGAAATGGGTCTTCAGCCCACATGCCACATGTCCCATTTTAATGCCAAGTTAATATGAATTAAGAGACTGAGATGAATAAACAAGGTCAGTCTGGGCTGGGCCAAGTTGAATCAATGTAAAATAATTGTCAGTATTTTCTGTCAGCAATGCTAGTTTATCTTGGCTCAGGATTCTCAGTGCTATAGATTATAAAATGTTTTCAGTGGAACAGTTGGCAGACATTTTATTGATTTTTCTTTGTTTTGTGAATGCTGGAAAAATTTCCATTAAGTATACATGCTGCTCATGTGACGAAGCCAAATTGCTTTTTCAAACTTTTCTTTCTTCAAGTGTGCTAACGCGTTAATACGTTAGCAATCTAATTTAATCAAGAGGACCTTTGTCTGGAATCAAGAGGCCATAGAGCACACCTCGGTGCATCTCAAGTACTTACAGGCTAATAAGAGTTAATTTTGTATTCTCAAGGTGCTGTATGCACACTGACTAATTAATTTGCCCAACACCTCTTTGAAGTTGGTAACATATTAGCTCTGTCTTACAGATGTGGAAGTTGAGAGTGCAGGTTTGCACAGAGCCACACATATTTGCCCACTGCTGTGTTCTCGACGCATGTGAAGCTCCTGTTGCCTTCTCCGGGGCTGAGCACTGGCAAAGAATGAGAAGGGAGGCTGCAGCAACTGGGCAGGATTAGCACTGCTGAGCTGTTGGATCCCACTTCCGTGATGAGTTTCCTACACCACATTGCCACATCCCCACAGCATGCCTCTTAATAGTTACTTTGGAACTGAAAATTGCTAGTACAGATAGAGCAGCTTGTAGGATTATGCCTGGACCCGTGGCAGACTGTATTTCTCAGCCTATACTCCTGCTATTTTAAGACCAGGTTTGCTTTCTGGTTAAAGAGGATCTTTGAAAAAGATAATTGATGGTGAAGGAACAAACAGAAGTGCCATAATGGTGATGAATTTTTTTTTTGTTGTTTAATTGCATAAAACAACGGAGTAAGAGTAAGAAATCCACTTGATGGGTTTTTACATGACACACAAAAGGGGATGCAGTGGGATAACTCTCATTCTCTCTCTCTTTATGCTGATTTTAATAACGAACATATACAGATATGAAAGACTGTCATGCAGTTTTCTCGTAACATTTCCTGAGGTTTGATCAATGATGCTACAGATTCAGATGCTTCTGAGCTTAAATAAAAACCTTGTAGAGAAGTATGTGTGTTTTTAAGTACACAAGCAACAAGAAAGTTTTATGATAGAAATCACTGTGATGATTTTTTTTTTTTTTTGCCTTCTATCTTCATCACTTGTATTAAAATAAGAGATATTTAAAAAGGAGTAGTTCTGGTTTGGGGGATGGGGACAAGGTAGATGGATAATAAGCTAAAAACCTCCAACCCAGCTTCACACACATCCTGACACTACCAACAAATGCAAGGTATTTAAACCCACAATGCATTATGGTAAGGAAACAGAATGACACACTGATGAGGAAGAAACCCACACTGCGGTTACCAATGCCAGTGACAGAGACGTGAGTGCAGCCATAGCTCTGTGCTGACTCTTACGTGCTGAACTCTGGCACGGTCACAGGCACTCACTCGTTGACTTATCCAAAAATAAGCTGCCCCACAGGGAGTCGATTGGTTCCTTTAACACATTGCCCAGAGCATCAGTATGCTACCTTGGTCCTCTGAACAACAGCATCCATACCCTCTATAAATATTTTCCTCATTTACAGGCAGCTGATCAAAATGTTTCCATAAATGGATAACAAGAATAATGAGAGGAAAAGAACTGCTAGGCTGTAACATATCTGACACTTGGAAGGAGAGAATGGCAATGGTCAGTGGTAAATGTAAGCCAGAGATGAGAGCTTTGCCTTGTAAAATTATTCACTGGACCGTACATTGTGGGTGGTATTTAACTGTCTTGTTCATATTAGAATGAAAGAAATGCAGCAAATAATATGCCTCCATCTGGAGTGCTGTCCTGAAATCTTTATTGCCCATAACTTACTCCGTGTGTCTGTGCGTGTGTTCACAGTTCAGAAAGTTGACTACAGTTCTCTGCTGACAGCAACACTATTGCTACTTTCAAGAAATGTCACGGAGCTAAGCTAATTTTCTCTGTCTGTAAAACACACTTCAGTCTCAAACTAAGTTCTGTGCTTTCTGACTGTCAAGGCAGGAAGAGAAGCCAGACTTTGTCTAGAATAAGTTCTCAAAGAAATAAACGCCTGAGACGTGAGTGATTATGAGTGATTATTTTGGTTCCAGCCTTTTCTGTCCCTGTGTCCGTCCCAGGCTACAGCTTTCCTTGTTAGGCAAAGGAGGTGATGATGTGAAGAGTTAATTGATTTGTTAATCATGCAGCCTGAAAACTAGGCTTCTGCTACACATATGCAGATGTCAGGCTCCCCGAAGGGCATCAGTAACAAGGTTGATTAAGTACGTTAAATAGAAATGTCTTCTGCTAGTCTTCACAGGGCCCTTGCCCAAGGCTTCTGCCTAGTGTAATTCATGAGATCTGTCTCAGCTGTCCCAAAACAAAGGTTCTGTCAAAGCTGAAATACAAGAAAGAAAGAAGTCCAAGTCTGTGCTAGAGATGAGCTTCCAGAAACTTGGGTAAGATACAGATTTGGGACAGTATCTGGGTCTGACAGGGGTGGTAGTGTTAGAAGTGCAGTAATGTAGGTCAATTGATTTCATGTGTTTGGTTGCAACCAGCTGGTACAAAGATGTCAGGCCAAGGCAGACAACAAAAGACTCTGGGAGAGAAAAAAGAACAGCTGTTGAGTACTCTCATTGAACATCTGCAAAGTCCCATCGTGGTGTCTTACAGAGATTAGGGGAGCCACTGCTACCCAGAAGGCAGCAGAACCTAGTAGTACCTGTATTCATGCAGGCCATACTGTCTGTGTGTGACTGATGTTCAGCTTGTACAGATGAGGTTGTGGGGTTTTTACTGCAAGATTAATGACACTAAACACTGACACTCAACTTGCAAAGAACAAGATTGATTCTAGTTTGGAAGGGAGCTCTGGAGGTGATCTGACCCAATGCTCTTCTCAAAGTGGATTCAGTTAGATCGAACTTTAAGGTTGCTTTAGCTCAGGTCTGTGACCCAAAAGGAACTTGTTCCAGATAACAACAGAAATGAACTGTCAGCACTGGCAAGCATCCAGAAGGTCAAAAAGACCATTAAACTCACATTAAACTTGGAGCAATGTTCAGAGTCAAGATCTGAGCTAACTCTTGTCACATCACCAGAAAGGATATTTGCTGTAGGAAGTCATGGTATGCCAACATGCAGGGGATGAAGCAAACAAAAGCTAAAGACTAACCTAGCTTCTCAGACTATAAATCAAGTCCTCAGAGACAGCATCTCAAAGTTTTAAATGATGCTGAGGAGGTAAATCAACAAGCTGCCTACAGTAATATATATATAAAGTGTGGCTGAAGTGACTTGGCCAAGACAGGAGGCTGTATTGTGCATGGGGTTAGGGAACAGAACAGTAGTAAATCTATTACAAAAATGGAATTTTCTTGAGGGGAAAGGCTTCAGAAGTAAATAGGAAATTATTCAGGATGTACATTTATCTCACTGGTGAGCAGAATACATAAACACCGAAGACTAGCATTAAACAGCATGAGAAATGAAGAAAGTCAATAATGAAACAAAAAAATTACCAAGCTAATGAATGACGAAGGGCCTTTACAGGAGAGAGAATGTGTCCTGATTATTGATTTTGAAACTGCAGGTAGTGGTTGGAGGCTGGAAAGAAGTGGACAGTGGAAATGTCAGATATAATTTTGTGATGTGGGAAATCGGTTGCTCAGCTGCAAGAACTATACGGCTGCAATTTCTTGAACTTCACTGCATTTTAGTAAGGCATTGTTGTTGTCGTCAGTTTTTGAGTGGATTCACTGAGGCAGCAGAAGGCAAATACGATTTAATTCTGGGTTCACATGTTGGATCAAGTTAAAGAAATTTCCTCAAGTTCTGCGTAACCATTTACACGTTATAAACTATGTCCTCTGCTGATGTCTCAGATTAGGCAGCCAAATCTCTAGTGATGCTGGAGTATCTCGGCCAGAGAGATGAAACACTGCAATGACTGCAGAGCTGAGAGCGTGCCTATTTATGTAGGCTCCTAACACTCAAAACCTTCTTTTCTTTGTACAAATTTCTTCACATGAAGAAGTTTGATGCAGACTTTGCAGCAGATGTACTACAGAAAACAAACTCTGTGAAACTGGAGGCAAAACACAAGCTACATTTACCTGCTTGTAACCATCTGTGGGCTTTTTTAAGCACAGAGAAGAAATTGTTGGAGTCACCTGTGCCTCAGCAGGTGACCTTCCTAGCCAGTTGGCACTTTCACAGGGAGTGCCTTTAAAACCCAAATTCGCGTTGGCAGGCTTCAAATGGCTGTGGTCAGCCAGGGGAAGCTATGCAAGAGGTGACCAAAAACTTCAGTGTCTCCTGGAGATCAGCTACAAGTTCTGGGTGTCAGCAGATGGAGGAGCTGGTTGTGTGGGTGGGGAGCTTGCTTTATATTCACCAGCCTGGCAAGAGGCAAACAAAAGCCTTGGGAAATCCCAGCAGTTTACGCAGCTCCAGTGATTGCAAAGAGCCACTTGTGAGGCTCAGCAACTTTTGGTGACCCACCTGGGCAGGTGCAGGTGAATGTGGTCAAGCCAAGGAGTCTGGGAGTAGGAGTAAAGTTGAACTCTGTAATCTCTCTCCCAGGACGCCTGATGAAGGCAGATGCGGGACTGCCAGAGACATGTGAGTCACAACAACCTCCAAAAGGGAGAAGGTGAGCTGAAGGGAGGGTAGCATGTTTACACCTTGGCATCAGAGGTATGTTGGGATTAGGCTCTGCTCTAGTGCTCTGTTAAAGGAACTCCTTTTATTGGAGTGCTTGTAGTCAATACAGTCTCCAGCATGATCTTTCCGTCTCTATTTGCCTGTAACAATTCAGTGCTGCATCCATCCCAGAAGTTAAGACAGAATAATTATGCACTAGGTTTTTAAAAGCAGGCCCCATCGCCAAACCCTTTAGATATTTCTGAAAGCTTTAGACCTCTCTATATCCTTAAAGTTGTAGGCTATGCATAAAACAAATATTTCACTAGTGGTGTGCAGCTGGTATAATGGATATTACATCTAATACTGCAAAAGCTCAATCCCTTCATGTGAGGAAAGATAGAAAAGTAGGTAATATAGAGATTTCCAGAAGGAGAAAGAAATGTGTTTCCTGCCCACATGAGGAGTGTTCAGCACAGTTACCTACAAATGGTTAGGATGATTTGTCAATGTGGTAGTTGTACTCATATTGTACTCACACCAGATTTACTAATAATGTTCCTACATGTAGTAGGCATAGAAAATTAAAACAAGTGCATCTATATACTCACTGATAACAAACAATTGTTGCTTTTCTATCAATAATGATGAAGAAAAAGATGAGAAATAAATGCTTTCTTAATCTTTGCAGTAGAGCTGTTTCATTCTGATTTCCTCCCTGTTGCAAGGTGGTGTACTGGTTCGCTAGCAACAGACGTGTTCAAAAAAAACCCAGAATCATCAGGCCTGTTGTTTCTCTCATAATAGGTAAATTCTAGTTTTCAATCAACTTTGGAAGAAGGGTATTTTGAAAGATCGTCTCAGGGATTTTGATCACAGGCTAGTGATGAATTTACAAAAATCTGTGAAGATCATGTTAGGTTTTCAAAAGTTCTGTTTCTTGCCTGTAGCTGTTAATTAGCTGAATTTCCATTGCTGTATTTCTCTCTTCTGTACATCCATCAAGGAACGCCAAATTTGTCCAAATGGTTTAATTTGAAAATGGTTCTGCTAGTGCACGTTAAATGCTTGCAAACTGTCTGTGTTTCTGGAGACTGCTTTGCGTCCATTCCATGTCCTTCTGGCTTCCAAGTTTTTCTTAGTTCCTGCTTAGTGTCTTTATGTTTTATTGTGTTTACAGTCATGATACAGATGACAGCTGAGGTTGTCAGGAGAATTCAGAATATAAAACATACATTTCAGAAGTATTTTAGTTAATTGTTCTCCCCTCCCTTCCATTTTCTATTATGGAAATACAGGATATTCCTTGACCTTATGAAACATCTTTGATATCGACACGCAAGTCGCCTGTGTGCCTTTTCCTGTGCCACTCACCTGTGGGAGCAGCTCTGTGCTGGTGGTCTGATGGCTGGACCAGGAGCAGGCAGGTCATGCTCTCCTCCATGCTCTGAAGATCGGTCAACGAAAGCTTCAGGAGATGGGTCATCTTCATCTGACTTCCCCAGAAGTTCTGTTAAGATGAATCAAGATATGATATTTAATTTAAAAGCATCAATCAAGTTCCTGCTTGTCTTAGATGTCAATAAGGACAAGGTGTCCTCTCTTGTAATGCATCAAATCGAATGGAAAACCATACACTTATACGGCTTTCACTCATGACTCTTCCCCTTGAAAAGGAGGCCAAGTAGCTAACGACCAGCAACAACAACACATCCAAGAGTTTTTGGAAGAGAGGGAGTGAGTGTGTGTTGGCTTTAGATAGCAAGGAGGAAATGCATTCTCTAAATTGTCAACTACAGAAGGTCTAGCTGGCTACCAAAGGCCTGTGAGTATTTCACTGTTGCCATATGATCAAAGTCTTATCAATAGGACTGTTCCCCCACAAGGATATGTGTAACTCCTTCCTTGAAAAATGAAGAATTTCCTTAGCTTTGTTTCAAAATATTTTCATCCATAATCAAGACCTGAAGTCTTCAAGCAGGTGAAGGAGGGGACCCCAATTCCCAAGTTCCAGTCTGAGCCCTTTGGGGAAGGAAATTGAAAATACCTGAACCCCTTAAAAATATAGGGGAGGAATTGCATATTCTAGGCGTGAGACTTAAAAAACAAAACAAAACAAAAAAACAACCCACCAAAAACCAAAAAACCCCAACCAAACAAACAAAAAAAAAAAACAGGCTAGCAGTTTGGATTAAAGAAAAAAATCCTTTTACAGATAAAGACTTTAAAAGATTTTTCTCAAAATTGTAAGACCCTTTTGCGTGTTTTTCTTTTTTAATCCTGTTTTTCTCCCCTTGTTCTCTGCCTTCCCAGATCCTCTATAAGCTAATCTGCACGATACCCGTGGCAACACCATGGGCAATGCGAAGAATATAATGCTCTTGTGAGTGCTGCCATACTGCTAGTTTACATTTTGGACAGAGACCCAGAATGCTCACCAGCTTAGGAGGGAAAAATCTACTTGTAAGTATTTCTGAATCTCTGAGTCCTAAAAAGCCAATGCCATAAGATTGCTGTGGACTATTTCTATTCTTCATCCTACCTAAATATTGTTAGCATCTGTGGTGCAAGAGAAGGTCAAGTGTGGCAACCAATCTGGCTTTCTCAGGTAACTGATATTCTCCACCCCTGCTGCTGTTTCCCACACAAGGAGCAGTGTGGGGAATAACTGAAGACAACCAATGCGGTCAGGGGCAGCACACCTCCAAGCATGTATACCACATTACAATAAGTAAAGGAGCTAAACTGGCCTTGGTGTAATTTCTCCTCTACTTTGAATAAAAAAATCCAAAGAGTGAAAAAAAGGAGGGAAGAAAAAAGGTGTATCAGCAATATTCTATGTCTAGGAAATCAACTCAAGGGCAAGTGCAATAAGTTTCTCTGGAGATCTCTTCTTGGAACCTGTTGCAGAGTGAGCAGCCAAGAGAAGGAGGGGAGCAATACAAAGGACTTTAAAAGGTGCAGGAGAAACTGCTTTTGATATGCATGAAGAACTCTGGGAAAGGGCTTTAAATTCCTCTTGATGTGTGTGTAGGAAAAATCCACTGCAGCTCTCATGGGAGAAACTTTGACAGTCTCTGCTTGGGAACACAGCTCCCATTGCTGTGCTTCCACCTGTGAATTGAGTCTGTGGTCCTGAGGAGCCTCCCTCTTCACTTGGCCTTGGCTTTTAAGGAGGTAAACGTTACATATTCTAGTTTTCTAAACATCAAAGCTAAGTTGTATACAGTGTGAGACAAGCTGGTGTAACTTATCTTTTTTTTCTCTTTTCTTTTTTCACCTACTCAATAATGCCTAAGGCCTACATAACTTACCCCCTTAAAGTTAGAAACTTTCACAAATACACTATGCCCATAGTTTCTACTTAGACATCACTCCTGAGGTTGACCTAGCTCCAAGGAGCAGTGGCATTTCAGAATTAAAAACACTGAGAGAGGAGTCTGTATTGAGAAATGGAACAAAATAGGATAGGGTCAGCTTTGTCTTGATGTCTTTCCACCATACTATTAATCTGCATTACTTCGTACCTGCTGAGACAGCCATCTCATGTCAGCCGCTCCAGCGTAACTCACGCACGTGCTCTGGGTGGGACCTAGCAGTTTTGTAACATGGAGCAGGCTACATTTTGGATGTATACAGTCCTCGTGTGGCATATCTAATATAGGAACGCTATGAGCAATTATAACCATGGCCACTGACTGATCTTTTCTTCTGTGGATGCAGCACAGCTACACCTTGTTAAATAATGCTACTGGATGCACAGGAATCTTATGGGAAACAAAGCAGTCTGTCATGTGCGAGCACACTTGTAGTCAAAATTGCGGGATGAGGGGGGTTCTTACGGGAGTGCAAATAGATTTCTTTGCACTTTCCTATCTAAATTGAATATCTGAAACTGACCTCAAATTACAAGGATGGAACCGGTCCTAGTCTGAGTATACAGCTGCAGTGTGGCAGTAGAACATTAGATAGGCTCAGAGGCCAGGAGCGGTTCCAAGCCACAAACCCACTAGATATGAGCTCTAGAGTAAAGAAATAAACATTTTTGTTGTGGGACATTGGACTGTGTTCCCTGTGAGAAGTGCTACAGCAGGAGAAAAAACATGTGCAAGGAATGCTGTTTAAACAACACAGCCCTTCCCAGACCAGAGGCAACACATCCCACATTTAATTATAAAGGGAAGGATTTTGTCAACAATGCCATATTGCTGGGAGAGGGTGGTGGTCTTCACATTTAGATGAGGGCTCTGGCTAGGCTTTGTTGCTTAATCAAGACTTGACTTTGTGCTAGCATTGGAGGTGTCACAAATTGCACCTAAGATTTCATATTCAGGTAATCTGGAATCTTCCTTTGGCTTATTGCACAATAAACGCTGTTCTTAATTCTTAGTATTTGGTTATCATGTTAGGATCTGGGGATTTGAATCTGAATTTGAATTGTAAAAACTTGAGAGTTGGTATCCCGGCTAGCATTGTTGTTTCATCAACAAGTCACTTATCGGATGCAATAATATGAATTATATCGTGCTAAAAATCTTTATCTACAAAATCCCATTGTCAGGATCAATATTAGGATAATGTACACACACAACCCCACAATGCACATTCCACATTTCCAATATGTGCTCATAGCTGCTATTTCTACAACTAGGGCCTGTCTGAAACAGCCAAATACTTTCCTTTACAAGTCCGCTAAAAGTTTTCTTACACTTTAATCAGCAGGATGCTCTCTGAACACCGTATGCAGGTGATGAGATCTCATGCTTTTCCAGCTCATGTATGTGTCATTATTTAACTGTATCTGTTCTCTTTTAGATCTGTGTCTGCAAATCAGAAGCTATTTCCATACTGCAGTATCCCTCACTGGACTTTCAGGGATAAAAATGCCTTTTAAAACATGCAATCCCATGGTAAAATGAAAATCTTCTTTTAATATTGTTTGCAAAATTGACAGCTCTACTTAACAGAAGCCATTAAATTATTTACAAAGTAGCAGCTGCTCTTGTAAAAATACAGCCTTTTTTGGGTATGAAAAATAAACTAGTTGATAAGTGAGAGATAAGCCATTTGACTTCTTCTTTGTGTGTCCAGCATGGTATGCAGAGCCAATTCTGTACAATCTGATGTTTACAGAGCAATCGTAATGTACGACCTCCTTAGGCAACAGGGACACAAGAAGCCTTTAAAACGCTGAAGCAAGCATTTAATCAGAACTCTTCATGCTGATCTTTGAAAAATTCACTAAGTTCAAAAAATGTAACTCCTTCTAAAGATAAAATACCACTTTTTTGCTTCAGGAGTTGTAAATATAACCCAATGAACTCCCAATGAACCACACAGACTTCAGACATACTGCTCTTTTTTTTTTTTAAAAAAAAGAGAAGTAATAGAGTTTTTCTGAAAGAAACAAATCAAGGGTCTGAAGAAATGCAAATGGTTAAGCAAAACAAGTGTTGTAAAACAGTAAAACAGTTTAGTAATAACCCAAACAATCACACTTTTTTTAGGCATTTAAACAATTTTTTAAACCCGAATAATAACTTCCCCATGAATAAGTTTATATCTCCTTTTATTATGCATTAACTTTTTTAAAAAAAAATTATTTAGACCTGTTGAAATCAAGCTCTCATGCTTTTTTGAGTTGTTGGGTTTGTTTGTTTGTTTTTTTTAAAAACAAATAACTGCTGCAGGAGTCTGAGACTGAGCGTGACCTCATGCATTATCAAGTTGCTCCACCTTAACCCTATCCCAGGTTTTCTCAAACTACATGAAGGTATTTCTAAAGCCTTGGGTAAAATTCTTTTGGTATCAAAATTAGTGGGAACTTCCATTGTTGCCTTGAGTGCGGTCAGATCTTTTTTTCTGGCTACAATTGTTTTCCTGAAATTGTCTTTCTAAATAAACAGATTCTAATAAAATTGTTCAGTTTCAACAAATTCCTGCAGGGAAACCACACAGCTTTGTTTGTGTGTGTGTAAAAATATAACTCTAAACTCCTCTGCTTCTTTTGGTCTAGTTTTCCATGGCTTCTTGTTTTTAGATTGTTTTTGTGTTGTTTTGTTAATTCCCAGTGCTGACATGTTTTCTTTCGACAAATATAAATTGTTGAAATATTGTTTTTGTAGTACTTTTAAAACTCATTGAAAACAGCTGTTACTGTTGAGAGAGATGGAAAAGGTTCATTAAATCAGAATATCTCCCATTTGTGTTGTAATTTAACAATTTGATACCTGAGAAGATAAGGCACTTCAATCACTAATAAGTAGAAGCAACCCTTAATGGTAGCCTAACATGCCATTATTTCACTAGTTGTATATTAGGCCTATTAGCAGCAGCAAAACTGTTTCAGTGGGTGTGACAGGAAATTTAAGAATGAAAATAAGTTATGTGATAAAACTAAAGAAGTAGTTAACACTTATAAACAACCCCTCATTGGGTCTGAGGTTTTTTTGATTTTTTTTTTTTTTTTGTAGTGTAGACAGTTATATTTCACTTTGCAGTCTTCTGCAA